CATATGAATTATATTATATTTTGAATTTTTATATTTTATGTTATATTTATAATTCATATTTTATGTTATATTTTTAATTGTTAAATGTCAATTTTCACGTTAATAATTGTACAATAATAGCAATAAATATAATTTAAATTACGACTTGACATATTTAAGCATATTATTTATAAAAATGAGATTAAAAATATGTAAAAACATCATTAATTTAAGTAAATTATATAATAATTTATATCATTTGTGTTATAAATTTTAAACTATAAATATAGCAAGTACCGTATTACGCCGCATATTGACCAACACTGGTGTATAGATACAGGTACATTTAATACTTTAGAGTAGTAACAGGCTATGGGCCATTTTAAGTGCCAATTATATTTTAATATGCTTTGTAATTTATACCTTATTCACGACATAATCATAGATAGTGTATATTAATATGAGTTTTGGGGTTTGAAAATATTTTTGAATCATCATTAAAAATAAACACAGGGCAGGCAATGACTATATAAATAGTAACGTTTATCATGAATAATAGTTTACATATTAACAAGGTAAATTATAAACCACGTCAATTTTGTTTAGAGCCCTCCAAATATGTGCCGGTTCATACTTTAGAGTCTAAAATTTAGACACTTATGTACTAATTTGTGGTTTAAGAAACTTATCGGATATGAATTAATTTAATAAACTATCAAGGTGAGACAAATTAAATAAATGAAGGATATAATATAAAAGACAATAGTTGACAACTGGCTGACAAGAATAAATTTAAAAATAGTTGATATATTATCTATAAATACAATAATATTATATTTAATTTACAGTTAAATAAAATTTTAAAGGAAATAAATCACTTACGTGTGTATTCTAATAGATCAATTATTTAATAAAAAAAATTAATTAATCTCATTTAAATACAATGAAATATAACTGGCATGACAATATAATTTATGCAAACATTTATTTTGTTTATTATGTAAAATACACGGTAAACAATTAAGTGCAAATACATCTAGATGCAAATTTTAGACATATAAACCACACTTTAGACATATAAATAGAAATAAAAACTTCTAAAATTCACCTTTAAAAATTAAATCAAACAATTTGTTACCATCACAAAACAACACTACAATGAATAGCGGCAACAGTACTGATAGTACGGACAGTACAACAATTGGTGGCAAAATGTCATACATTTTATGGCAATATTGGATCGACGAGACCGACGATCGGATCAAACATTACCCCCTGTTTGGGGGCCCACCGGACAAGTTAATGGCGATCATGTTGCTATGGTTACTGTTTGTGACCAAGCTGGGTCCGAAACTAATGCGTAATCGAGAACCGTTTGTGTTGCGCAAACCGATCATGGTCTATAATTTTATTCTGGTTGTAATAAACGTATATTTTGTGTACAAATCGGTGCATTGGTTAGAGTTTGGCAGTAAGTCATTAGATCCAAAATTATCAGCTAAGTACCAGTGGACAGACGCCGACATTGCAAATGTACCTGATAAAATGTTTTATAGTTATACAAAAATATTTGACTTACTTGATACAGTATTTTTTGTGTTGCGCAAAAAATTCAACCAAATCTCGTTTCTGCACGTTTACCATCATTTTATGGGTAATTATTAATTAATGATTTATTCATTCATGTTTGTTTAATTAGTAATTAATAATTACATGTTGATTGTTTTTTGATTTTATACTTAATTATAAATAACATTTCAGTTAATATTAAATTTAAATATGCAATAAAGTTTATTCGCCCAAATACAATTAATTAACATTTATTCAACTGTATAGCTTAGGTAGACAGACATCAAGTGCATTATCCAACTTTACACTTAATATACTGTTTAATGTAATAGTGTTTAATTTCCATTTTACCTTCCAGTACCTGTGATGAGCTATGTAGTGGTCAAACTAGGTCCACAAAGTGTGGGGATCGAGGTGTTTTGTTTTCTCAATTCAATAGTGCATACAATTATGTATAGCTATTACCTGTTGTCAGCATTTGGACCCTGGATTCAGCCCTACTTATGGTGGAAGCGATACATAACACGATTGCAATTAATACAGTTTGTGTTGCTTATAGTGTACGCCATATATTGTTTCCTATACGGCGATACGAGCGGTGTGTCTGATGGGTTAAAAGTTGTATTTTACGTTCAACCATTCGTCTTTTTCTATATGTTTGCCCGATTTTATATTCAATCTTATAGTCATAAAAGTAAATTGAATTAACTATTGTGATGATGCATAAATAATATAGTTATTTATGTTATTTTATACTTATAATTATATCATAATAAATTTTATTTGTATTTTATAAATGTACAGTATACTTTTGATTCAATTAGAATTTTACTAAATTAAAAAATGTACTAATATGTTAATCATCATTGTTAAAACTACCAGAAAAATCCTGCTAATTAATATCTACATCATGTATGTCATCAATAATGTTGATGCAAGTGTTGATGCTTTGCTTAGATATAACTTTTCTTGGTAAATCCTTTGCATAAACAATTTTCATTGTTTTAATCAAGGTGCTATTATTTGCTGCGTATTATTTTTAATTAGATTATGCAATTATAAATCAAACATTGAATATTTTATTAGATAGTATTAGATAAGTACAAGATTTTTAATTAAAATAAATTGATTAACATTCTTTTCAAATGCTAAATAAAATATTTTATTAAATTTTTTTAATTAAATAAATATTTAGCTTGTTTGAACATGTTCGTTGGCATTCATATCTGCCACTATATCAGCGAACATTTGCTCAAATCTATTTTTAAACTCAACCAGGTACTGATAATCTGCGGGTAGGTTACCATCAGCAGTTTGGCGATACTGTATTTGGGTATCACTCACCTCGATGATTTTGTCGTGAATATTACTATAAATAAAATTACTGCATTTCACAAAATTAACCTCGTTACTACCATGTATATTTGTATAAATATTTTCCCATATATAGTCATAAATTTTGACCGAGCTCTTAAACTCGGGTACTGTGTGTCCCCTATCGTAACCAGGTCGCTTATCAAAGTGGTGCCTGATGAACGTGGCCATATCAAACAACATCGATCGATATAGGTGATATTGTTCATTGAACGCCAACTCGGCCGCAGTGTGTTCGTCCACGTTTTCCAGATTGTACTTGGTAAAATAAGCCATATTTTCAATCATCATGTTTATAAAGTCAGCAAAACTCGTACGCATAGCGTAGTTAAAATTATCGTGGTCGTCACCTAGTTGTTTAAACGCGGTGTCCAACGTTTGTATGGCATTCAACCAATCATTTTGGTACTTGCCTGATGGGCCCAACATCCATGTTGCATTTTGTTGCTCAATACATGTCATCGGGTTAAATGGCGCGCCCACAGCCTCATCGCTGTATATATTGTGTACTGTTATAACGGCAATAAACATAATTAAATTTAGCTTATTCATTTTAAAACTGATTTTTAAAACCAATTATGTATAAATTTTACAAAATTATATTTTGTATAAGTAACAAAGGTTGTTTATATAGATTTTTATGTGCATCATAGTGGTATTATAAAACATTTGTTTTAATGCTAATTTAAACTAAGTTTTAAAACTAGAACTATAATCAAAAAAGTGAACATATGCTGTTTAAATTATTTATAAATGTCAATTTATTATAACAATCATTTAAATTGGTTATATTATTTCCAAAGAATAAACATGTTTTACAAGTATTGTTATTATACTTTGTAATAGTTTATTACTGATGTGGTTAAATGATATAATTGTCATTTGCGAAAATTTAAAACTAATTGTTATTCAGATTAGCAATTACTCTAATAATTATTATAATAAAATAATTATAATCATTTTCATAGTTATAGTTATTGCTGTTGTTTGGTACTGTATCACACGTTCATAACGTTGTATTTTGATACGCGACCTGGGTCTGATAGGGAACACTTTATACATGAATTTAAAAAATTATGATATTATTTTGAAGCACACTGATATGGGTATTGATAAAAGTACCGAGTTAACATTTGGGCATTGCATTAATTTATGCCATAAATTTTATTTTAATAATCAAACTAGAAAGGTAATAGGTACTCAGATACAAAGTCGCTATAGTCCAAATAATAGCCTATCAATTGATTATCAATACCTGGTTAAGTTTAAAAGTAAATGAGATCGTAATTTTGAAGCATTAGTTAAGAATTTAAATGTAAATAAAATTTTAGCATGCATAAATTTATTTCAATGATTAAATTTATTTAATTAATTACAATACAATTTTAAATATAAACTTACTATTAAAATATTAAATGTAATTAATAATAAAATATAGAAATTCTGAAAACACATTGCGTAAAATTTTAATTCGTAATATTTAAAATTGAAATTAAAACAGAATTAATATAATATAATTTAATAATAAATTTATTTAGTTATTTAATAACAAACAATGCAATTAAATGTGCATTATTAATTATTAGCATTCATCTCTACCATAGTTTTAAACATCTCTTCCCATTTGGTTTTAAACTCAACCAGGTATTCATACATATCTGGCAAGTTACCCTGGTCATCTTGACGATACTTAATCTGAGCGTCAATCGCCTTATTGGTCAGCTCGTGAACATTACTGTACCACACATTAGGGCAATGGGAAAATTTGATCTCGTTATATTCATTTATATTCATATAGGTGTGCGCCATTATGTCATTGTAACTATTGACCGCTTTTTTAAACTCGGGTATATGATGGCCACTATCGGAGCCAGGTCGTTTATCAAAATGTTGCCGTATATAAGTGGCCATTTGAAACAACATGACCCGATAGCGATGATATTGCTCGTTGTAGGCCATCTCAGCAACCGTATGATCGTCCACGTTGTCGATGTTGTTCTTGGTGAAATAGCCCACTTGCTCAATTAGCATGTACAAAAAGTCGGCAAACGAGGTGCGCATAGCGTAGTTAAAATTATCGGGCTCATCACCTAGTTGCTTAAACGCTTTGTCCATACCTCTAGCGTTGTTTAGCCAGTCGTTTAGATACATGTCGGACGGCCCCAACAACCATGTTACATTTTGTTCGTGCATACATTTTATAGGGTTAAATGGCGAGTTGTCCACATCATCAGCATATGCAGGTTTAAGTGTTGCAATAACGGCAACAATTACTATAATAAGACTTAATTTATGCATGATAAATCCTGTTTTAATTAATAATAACAGCATTTACTCTACAAAACTGTAATTGTTAATTAGATTTACATGACATTGGTTATTTATATAGTTTTGTAAGTGTACTTTTAAACAGTAGTTTTAATGATACGTTTTACAATTAAAAACTAAACGTGTTATGCATTAAATATATTGTAACATGTGTTGTTAATTATTTATAAATGAATAAATACTTAATATGAATTAATTATATTATTAATATAAAGAATAAACATATTTTAATAGGAATAATTATTATACAATGTAATAATTTATTAATCAAGTGTTTATTAATAATTATATTTGTTTGAACGACATTTGCAGGAATTTAACACTAATTGTTATTCATATGAGAGAATACTCTAAAAATCATTATACTTATAATTCAAATTAAATTAATTAATTAATTATAATTTAGAGTATATAAACCATCAATGTCACAAATGCTAAATTGACATTGTTTTATTTAGTAATTATTTTCATAATTAATAAAAATTATTAATATCAAAATGAGTAACTAAGTTTTATCACGATGATTGTAGTTGTTATAACAATCAAACGAGCATGCACCGATAATGTCAATAATTCATAAGCTGACCTGGTGAAATGTTTCGAAACAGAAAAATTAACCTGGCTGTTTGGCCCGTCGGGCGAGTACCGAGATGACTGGCTAAATAATGGCAAAGCATTGGACAAGGCATTAAAACAACTAGGTGATGATTATGATAATTACTGCTATGCTATGCGTACAAATTATGCCGATTTTTTAAACATGTTGGTTGAATTAATCGGCTATTTCACCAAGAACAATCTGGAAAATGTAAACAATCATACGGCAGCTGAAATGGCTTTTAACGAACAATATCACCGTTATCGATCGCTATTGTTTGGTATGGCTACTTATATACGGCATTATTTTGATAAGCGACCTGGGTCCGATAGGGGACACTTCATATCTGAGTTTAAGAAAGCGGCCAAAAGTTATGATATTATTTTGAAGTACACCTATATGGGCACTAATGAAAGTACCGAGTTAGCATTTGCGCATTGCATTAATTTATGGTATACTAACATTAATAATCAGACAAGCAATGTAATAGATAAGCAGATTCTGTATCGCCAAGGCCCTGATGGTAAAGTACAAACCGACTATCAATACCTGGTTGAGTTTAAAAATGAATGGAATAAACATTTTGACGCCCTGGTTGAAAACATGAATTCAATTAATATTTGACCATGCAAACC